TTCTAGGAACAAAAGGAGTGGTTCGGTGGGCGCTCGGTGGAGGGCGGAACGGCATAGGAAACATGATGCGGGGGCGCCAGCGAGAGATCCAGCCAGGGAATCGAGGCCAGACAGGTGCGAGGGATGGCGTGTGTGGGCTGATTCCAGGAAGGGCTCGCCAGTGCGCGGGCGGTTGAAGACAAGAGAAGCAACAAGAGTGCTTGGTGGTTGGCGGGAAGGCGGAATGTGATTTCTGATTTTTTTTAGTAAAAAATAGTAAAAATTGTATGTAGGGAAGAAGATCTGCGCACATTTTCTTGACTTCCAGAATCTCTTCCCATCATTTTAACTATAAATAGTTGAAATATGAGTAAAAAATTAAAATAAATAAATAAAAATAAATTTTAAAAAAATCGCGAAATTCTTTGATGGCACAGAAAAAGATTCGTGGCCGAAGAATCGGGCCAACATAACATTGCTGTTTTAAAATATCGATGTTCATAATAAAAATTAATAGTAGATTGTTAAATAAGTTAATAATATATTGTTAAAAAGCAATGGATACTTTTATCATTGATGTGTTTGAAACTCAGTATTTTAATGATTGAGTTTCAAACACATCAATTTGTATTCATCAGTATTATAATTATCTATTACCAATGAAAATGTCAATAACAAGAGTAGTCAGAATAGTGAACTAACTCAGTGAATTAGTGAAGTTGAACATAACTACAAATGTATTACCAAACTATTTACTAGCTATGTTACAAAGCCACAGCACAAAGAGAACTTTACGGAGAAATCAGAAGGCCTTAGCCCTATGTGGGATTGTTTAAGTTAATGATAATAATTATAATTATATCATTAAATTAATAATTTGCCTCTTAGGAATTTCGTTCCTCCTTTTCAGAGTATTTTTCAGTCCTCATTTTGATTCGTCTTGGTTTGCAAGAATGTTAAATTAACGGATATGGGAAAATTTTGGTAGTTTTTTCTTATTATGGTACTTTTTATTTAGAAAATATAACATCGTCTGTGTAGACACATTGAACGTGAAACATAATATTTGTAAAAAACATCTTTTTCAATAAAGCGGGGTTAGAAACAACGATTTTTTCGCAGAATCACCTGTATTTTGAAAATATGGACATCCATGTCGCATCCCTAATTTATTTTTTATATGTGAGAGTCTGCAGAAGGGAGGGAGGTACAGGATTATTGATGGCGATGGAGTAGTTGGGAGCGGCACCTACACCCCGAGGAAAGTCGAAAGGCTGTAGGTTTGCGATAAGAGGCATTGGACACTGGGTGAAGACGGGAGAGTCGGTGTGGATGGAGTCTATGGATATAAACCCAAGGGTAGCTTCAGAAATTATTTAGGAGGCGTTTGTACGGTAATAATTGTTTGAGTCGTACATTACATTCAATTTATATATTCTTATTTCTAAATCATTTGAAAACTAAACGTATTGGGGATGGTTTCATAAATCTTACTATCTCACTACTCAACTAACCAATACTACTACTTTGAATTTAAATTCGGAAGCAATGTTTAAAAAGTCATTTATTTTTTAAATGTTAATTGTCAGCAGTATTTAAATAAATTCTAATAATATATTATTGAATCATATGTGTAATTGTTATTTTTATCTTGTAAATTTTCAAGCTTGTCTGTAAGTAGGGACTACGGTCAGAAACAAGACAGAACAAAATAGATATGGAGGTATAGGTAAGGATTGATGATTTGGACGAGACAGCAGAAAATGATGAACATAGCAAACAACACTGTGGAAGGGTCATTGCTAGGGGAGTTTATGATACAAAAAATGACTCAAAATAAGTAAATTACGGAGTATGAAATGTGCGAGTGTACGAGAGCGGTTGAAAAATGATGACAAAATGGACTATACTGAATTGAATTCCATGTCATGCCATATTTGATTGACAGTTTTGTCGTTTCGAAATTGACACGAAAATGTTTTCTGTAACGTCTTGAGCATATTGAAGTTTCAGAAGTATTTTATTGCGTATATATTTGTGGTATTACTTTTTATATTAGGTCGATTCAACTTTTCGACTCTTTAGATGACTCATCCGGCTTACCTTGTAAACCTATTCTACGAGAGTTTCCCGGGTTACGCATTACCTCCCTTCTCTCCCATAGTAGGCGTATTTTATTACTTATTGTTTTTGTGACCATAAAAGTTTGAAATGATTTTCATGAAGTTTTTCAATATTGCGAACTATTGTATATAAACAAAACTTGACACATGTCCAAAACCTTCAAAGGAAATTTTCTTAATTTTTTTACCGAACATTTGCACACGAAATGTTGATTGTTTTTAGATACGAGTATTACAGCAACATTATTTCAATTACTTTGTTAGGGAGTCTATAGTATTTAAAAAAGTGCGAAAAATGATGTTTTTAACACACAATGTATTAAAATGTCAATATTACAGCAACAAAAAGTAGACACTCATGTTAATTGAAACTTTTCGTAAAAAATTGTGTCTTAAAACTTTACTGAATTGTTTGCGAATTTCAATAAACATTATTCATGTATAAGAAAGTGTAGGTTTTTTTAATGTTAAAGGAGCTTTAGTTCAGTGCTATCATGGCATCGAATTAAGATAAACGTCTTTCAAATGTATAGATTCAACGTTCATAAGCAAGTCAGAAAGTGACACATTTTCCTAATGAACCGGGCGTTAGAATATTAAATAATGGAAAAAATACTGGTAACTGTATTTAAAATAGTTTGATGGAGAGACTTTGTATGACTTGAACTATATTGAGACTTGAAATATATTCATCCTTATTATAAACTAACTTGACCGATAGGAAGAGTACGATGATTGTTAAACCAATATTTCTTCGCTTAGGAGCCATTTATATTTTTAAATCGCCAATCATTTACATTCCTTTAGCTGTGTGTTTTAACCTACTTTTACCGTATGTACATTCTGCCGAATTTTATCCACAGAAAAAAGTTCAATGACACAACTTATGTAACAAGTAAAACACTTTTTGGACACAAAATCACCGATTGGAGAGATTTTATCAGTGAAAATGATATGAATGGTGATACCTGCCACAAGAAAACTGGGTGATCTTATAAAAATAAAAACAAGATTTTTGATTTTTTAAATCTAAGGAGTTAAATA